CTGAACATTTTTGAAAAAGAAATTTTCTAACTTGCCTTTATTAGCTAATCATTTTTTCTTTCAAGCTTGCCTTTTTATCACATTTCAATTAGAATAATTTCTTATCCAAATTTCAGTGTGCACTGGTTGTTCAAGATACCTGCCAAGGTGAAAAGACTGTGGTAATCATTTTTACCATTGGAAAACTGTATTTTTCCCCTGTTATTGTGGGACTCAGGAAGAGCTAAAGGGATTTCACTTAGAGTTTCATTTCAAACAGAATGTGTCCTTTGAAGAGAGACCAATTTTCCCAATTTTTCCTGCCAAAAGATAAATTCTCAGAATGCTATGAGTATGCCTTAAATATAGTGGCCTCCACACAGCAAGTAATATAAAACATCCCGCCTCACAGGGGAGTTATGTTATTTAATTAGTTAATATCTGTACAATTCTGTGAAATATTCCTGCCTACCAATCTGTCAACTAATCTAATCTTATCCGCTGGGTTCATTGATCACTGTCTGCCTATCACAAGTTTATTTCCCTTATCGGCGTGTGAAGAAACTGAGAGCCCCATAGTCAGAGATGACAAGTATCTTTCCGGTGGGCCATATTCAGTTCGGTAGGAGCCTAAGCAGCTATTACACTGGATTCTGTTTTGCTAACATTAGGATTACTTATGAGGCTTAGTCCAAGCTCTTATGTGGAACTTTGGTTAAATATTTCTGGTGAGATTTTAAATATTGCTCTTCAGAGCCTAGGGGCCAACTCTTCTCTCATTTCCACAGATGGAGCTCCCTGTACTTCAGTGGAGGTTATGCCTATGGGATTGAGGGTGGAATTTGGCCTAACACATTGAGTGAAAAGGAAAACAAATACTGTGCACTAGAACGTATCGCTTGCCAGAAGCAACATGTTGGAATGTCTGGTTCCCTTGCACAATCCCAAAATAAGCCATGAGATTCAGAAACTGTGGCTTTCCTTCTGGGTGTAACATAAGCTCTGTGTATAATATTATCATTTTTAGTAACAGAGAGTTTAAAGTTGGCAATGACAGCCTTCAGATTGGTAAGTACACCTGTTCCCTGAATCTTCATTATGTGCACTGAATAGGATTCCACATTTCCAGTAACAGAGTGAATGCATAAAAGTGTTTTTGATGGGCTACCATATAGCAATGAAGTAAGCAGTTAGGAGCAGGATGACTGGTTGACACAGAATGAAGCAGACAGGTTCTGGTGTTAAAATATAAAATGCTAGATTATGTTGGAGTCCCGTAGGTTATTTTCTTTTTCTCTCTCTCTCTATGGGTGTTGTACTGCCCCCTAGTTCTTTAAAGATTATGTGGCATATTTTATAAAAGATGGATTTTCTCTCATCGCTCGTGTCCATGCAGCATTCTGTGTGCCTTTCAGTTGCCAACTGCTGGTTGACAAGTGGCTGGATTTAAGTGGTGCTGCTGGTATATAATTAATGAAAGCATACCCCTCAACGAAGAGCAAAGGGACTTTAAGGTGCTTTAGTGCCTTTTTTTACGACACTGACCATTGACAGAGCTCCCAACACATGTTTTGGTCCCCTGGGTTTATGACAGCTTCCTAGGACTGCCTACAGCTGCTATGACTCCACTGGGACTTGAGGCCAGTGGAAGATGGCTTATGTTGCACTTGTCAGAAGAATTCTCCCCAGACTCTTGTGGGCTTTTCTGCAGCCCATATGTATCACCCACTGCATGTAAAACTACAGTAACAGATAAAACTAGTTTGGCTGAAATGAAAATGAATAATGAACATGATCTTGTTCTGCCATGTCCTGTTCCTGCCTGATAATGTAAATGAAAAGCACAAAGAGTTTGCTTGGTGTTTTTGTTTGGAAATGGGAAGATTTCACTTGATTAAGATAGAAGAATGTGACAACAGTAGCCACCATCCAGCTTCTCTTTTCTAGGTGACTTGGTGTCTCGAGCAATGCATCACCTCCAGCCTCTCAATGCAAAGCAGTACGGCAATGGGACTCCTATGCATCACAAGCAGGGGTCGCTCTACTGGGAGCCTGAGGCTCTGTACACTCTCTGCTATTTTATGCATTGTCCACAGATGGAATGGGAAAACCCTAATGTCGAACCTTCAAAAGTCACACTTCAGAATGAAAGGTAAGATCTCATTTGCAGGATTTATTACATTTATAAAAGTATTTTGTTAATAAATCACTGTTGCTGGCTAATTGCTAAATACAGGCTGTACACAATATATTACAGTGCAGTCTGGTTTGGTTAGGATCACCGTCTTCAAATAAATTTTGTTTGCAATGAAGTGCTCCTTTGCTGACCCAGTATATATCAAAAGTGACACCCAGTGGCTACATATAGCAGATTGGTTCCAGATGTGTGTTTGGTACAGATTTCCTTTTTCTTTCTTTGTCATTTGACTCGCCTATGTTTTGGAAAGGAAAATTAGAGGCTCTATTTCTGACCTGACAGGTTTGGGTTTAAACGTGTTTTTCTAAAAATTAATAGGATTCGACAACTGTAATTTGGGAAGTGGAAAATGAATGGAATATTGTGCATAAAGAATAGACTGAGACAGCAATGCTGATTGCCCAGGCATGACTCATGTCTACATTTAGGAGTAACCTTGGGGCTTCCACTTACCAGGCCGGCAGGTGATCCGTGATTTTCTGCTTTGGATGCAATCTCTTGTGATAAATAAAGGAACCAAAGGTAGGAAAACAAAGAATGACATGTTAGACACAACACTGCTGAGTTGATACCTAAGACAACAGGGAGAAGGAAGTACTATGTGATGTACACTAGATCACTGCACTGCACGTGCACACATAAAGCAAAACAGTTTTCCAGATAAGGAATCATACTGCCAAGGAACAAGGAGTTCCTGAGCGACAGTCCTTTCTGGTGCCCCAAGGCAAGTTGTGTAACGTCCCTGCATCAGTTTCCCCATCTCTAAAATAGGGACGATGCCTACGTACCTCAGTCAGAAGTGTGTTGGGAGGTTTGATTAGTGTTTGTATAGGACTTGAAGGTATGAATTGTTAACAGTTTATGAATGCCTATGAGGTTTGTCACATGCCAAGTTGGTCACATTTTCAAACTGGCCTCCACTCTTTCACCCCAAACTATGGATTAGAAAAATGTTCATGTGCACATGCACTCTAATGGCAACTTGCCCATATAATGACTTGATCTGCATATTTAAAGGTGAGGTTTGTATCTTGAAGAGCACATTTGAAAAATGTAATGGTGAAAGATGTACAGCGTGGTGTACCTGACTGTTTCAGGCCTTTTATTGGTGTATAGGAAAAACTTGTAAGACGAAATTCTTGTCATACTGAAGCCCACTGGAATTTTGCCCATGGGGTGAAGTAAGGAATCGTAGGTCATTCCTGTCTCTATGAAAAATGTAAACAGGGACCACTGAGAATCAATTACCCTGAAAATTCAATGTTGCCAACTCTCATGGTTTTATTTCAAACCTTGCAATAGTTTGCAGTGCAATGGAACGAGCTCCCTTAGGAAGCTCTGAAATCCCCTTCACCGGAAGTTCTCAAGAAGAGGCTGGGGTGGGCATCCTGTCTGGGGTGGGCTGGGAACAGGGAATCCTATATATGTGTCAGGGCTGGACTACATGATTCTTGAGTTCCCCTCCAGTGCTATGATTTTATGATATTTGGTGCTGTTCTTAACTATTGGTGCCTGAAGTCATGAGATCTCATTTATAAGCGGAGCTTTCTTTTATCCATTTTTTTAAGCTCTTATGATTGCTGAGAAGAGCTGGGAAATATGACCCCTGAGGGTTCAGGAGCCAGAAAGGGAATTAAAAAAACCTTAAGTTTATGACTTTTTAAAAAACCTTGTGATTTATTAGCCAGTCTTGTGACTGTGGGAAGCCTCATGAAGTTGAACATTTGGGGTTAGCAATCCTGTGTGAAAGGTTATTTCAATGCAAAGTTAGAGGATATCTTTATCCCCATACTGGAACTTTTACCTACATGAGTATTACCATGGAAACCAGTAGGTTTCCATGAATAAGAATGCAGGTTTAGGTCCTAGAGTTGCAAGTTTTCTAAAGATCTGTCAATGGAAAGTGACAAAGGACAGAAACCTTTGAAAAGTCTTTTTTTTTTTTTTTTTTTTTTTAATATGGTGTTTTCATCTCTTTTCCCTTTTCAATGATTGCCTGTTATACATAACTTCTTTTAGCTATTGAAATAGGGATAAATGAAAAAACCCAGAGGCAATTCTGGTTTTTTTTAATACTTAGCTTGGCAAATTCTCTGTGTTTGGAAAGCCAGTTTAGCAATGGTGGTAATGTGGTTAGGGCCAGAAAAAGTACTCTGTGTTATTGCCAGGAGCTTGTGGTTAATTTTGGAAGGAACAGATTCCTTCTATTGCCTAATCAAACATGCTTTAGTAGTTAGTAGCTGAAAAGCACAAGTGGAAGTGATACAGGGTAAAACATATGCCCAAATATTTCCACTAAAGTGTGTTGTATTACATCCTGTACCGGCTGGGTATAACTGTTCCGTGCTGCCTCATTGTAGGTATTGGTTAAGCTGCCTTCTATTTAGTGCTTTAAAAATCTTTAGTGCTTTGCTTTTCCCACCAAAGAATACCAGTGGTATTCCTTATGCTGTACAAGCACTCTTTATGGGCTGTGACTTATCTCTAGTATTTTCAGTTTTCATTATGGTTTATTAGGTATTTTGGTAAAGTGGATTTGTTAAAACATGTTTTTATATTTAAAATATTTCTAAACCTTGTGCTTTAGCTAGAGTTCAGATTCTTTCCTATTTTGTCATGCTGCTGCAGTTATTTCCATGCTGGCAGTAAAACAGAAAGAAATGACTTGCAGACAGATTTTTTTTCCCCTTTTCTCTGGTCCCTTTCTATTTCTGGTGCAAAGAAGTCAGAAACTGAGTGGATCTGGCCAGAGGAAAATTTCCCTGAAACGGTGAAGTCCTCAACCTACATGAAACCAGCTGCTTCTGGTAGCATGCCCTCTCCTTGCCCTTGCAAAAGTGGCATGCTGTGACTGTTAATAGTTAGGGAGGATATACATCCAGAGTATGCTGTAGTCTAGTTTAACTTCTCTCACATATATGGGTATTGGCATTGAACTTGGCTAAGAATCAGGGAGCTGCCGCTGGCTCCTCAGTGGTTCTTTCCTACTAAAGGAGCTGGACACAACAGAAAATCTTGGCTAGCATCATCATTCTTTTTATTGTTAATACTTACGAGCAACAGCCCTGCTGTGATAGTACACACACACACACACACACACACACACACACGTCCCAGTCCTACAAAGTTTACAGTGTAGGAATGGCAGACTAGGCTTTACCTTTGAATAGCTCTGGCCAGTAGCATTTATGTAGTATTTCTCTGTTGTCATCTACTGTTTGTTCTTCACTGAAAAGGAATATGATATGTTTATCTAGATTTAAGAGGGGTGTGGTATATATTTATCTGTATTTAACAGGCAATGCCATTGCAAGTTTCAGAGTATTTGGAGCTCATCCTTAGGTCCACCTTTCCTTGTAAAAAAAAAAATATGCAAGGTCAAGAAGTTGTAGAGAAAAGCTGATAGATGTGACCCAGGTGTATCCTAAGAACTCAGAAATCTGGAGATAAATAAGTAAACCCAGATTCATGTGGTCATCCCCCCCCTAAATTTCATGATTTTTAAGCTGACCCTCTGATTGTGGGAGGGTGACTATTTGAATACCAGAGTTTGGCAGTGCTGGCAAATAAATCATATGATTGGTTTTTGGGAGCAGCATGAGGAACATCATCTTGGTCGTCTGCATTTCACAGGCCTGAGCCTACACAATAAGTTAGGGACCTACCGAAATCATGATTTCGCATTTTTTGCAAAAAAAAATGGTGCTCTCTGTGATTTTGGCAGGCTTGCTGCAAAAAAACGAAAACCTAATGGCAAGCAGAGAAAAGAGTAGGAATCCCTGGAGCCTTGGAGCACAGGGAGGGGGAGGGGGTGAGAAGGAGCAAATGAGAGGCTGAGCCTGTGACATAGGCTCAGTACAGGCACCAGTTTGGGGCCAGTCAGGGAAGCAACAGGGTTTCAGCACCATCTTTTAAGCAGCCAGAGGCATGCTGCAGCCTGAGAAGAATTGAGCAGGATGAATAGTGAAAAGAAGTCCTCCAAAAGGGCCAAATAAGTTTAAGCTCTGGACCATATAAAGCAGTATCCTGCAAGCACCTTGCACACAGGTTGAGACAGACTGTTCTGTACTATCTCCACCGTGTCTCTGGATGCATCAAGGAAAACCAGTATTGACTGACATTTAGGGTCCAAGGCACACACGAAGGGAAAGGCTACTGCAGAGGCTGAAGGTCAGAGCAAGAAACAAGTGACTGTGCCCTTGCTCTTTAAAAGGACCACAGAAAACAGCTTGGCAAGGCGAGGGGTAGCATTTTCCCTTGTGGAGGTTTTTGCAGCGGGAAACATCCTACTGGAGAAACTTGATCACTGTAAGTTAAGGGACTACCTGAACCAAAACGTGCCAAATGCTGGCAGTTTTCCATGTGTGGACAAGCTTCACCAAGACTATCTCCCTGCAGTGATTATTTCACATGTACAGTCCACAATGTCTGGATTGGCAGAATATGAATCCTTCTCCATTGTGGCTGATGAAGCCACCAGCCCTCAAGATAATTATGTGCTGCACGTTTTATCTGTACTTGGGAGCTGGGCAGACCAGGACCTACCTGTTTTTCAAACAGAGCTGGTCCACTTCACATCTGTCAATTTTCCTACCATGGCTCAGGCTGTAGTGAAGGCACTTGTAAACTATGGCCTAGAATTTAACATGATCTCAGAATTTCTGCCTTACAATACCATGTATATGTGTTAGGCTTTCTCTGATGTGTTCCATGTACGTGGGTCCCCATTTGGGAAGAGGCTAGGATGACCACCCATCCCTAATTGGGTGGAACAGTCCTGAAATGGAAGCATCTGTCACAACCCAAAGGGTGTGATTTTTGTTTTTGTGTGCTTTGGCACTGCTAAATTGTCCCCGCTAAATTATCGCTTCCTTGCACGGTGGAGTTTTCTGCTGCAAAAGAGAACCCTGGTGCAAGGGAGAATTTCCCGCCAATTTGAAGCTTTCTTTGCAGGG